TTAGACATATAATTTATAATAGCAACAATAAATTTAGACGGGATAAAAACTCTTTACATATAGGACACAGCAAAAGAATTGACATCTGACTTATTCTTTAATTTATAAATAATCTAGCATAAAATTTCTAGATAATCAGGCTGTATTCTTCTAGTTATTGAAATATGAGTCCAGTATATACAGTACAGGAGAGCTTGAGAAAATTTATGAATAGGCTAAGAGAAAGGCAACTGTAGTAGTAAGGACAGATAGTGTTGACTATATTCAACTATATTCAATTCAAGGATTTTAGACTAGGAACTGTCAATTTTATTTGAGAATTACTGTAATTTTTTCTGAGGTTATTTGGTCTGCTGTACTGCTTCAGACATACTACTAAGAAGAATGTGGAATGGTATAGGAACACTCAAGAAAATTAATACATTGACTAAAAGTTCTTTATGTAGTTTTATAGAGTTTTATAGAGTTCCAGGAAGAACCAGATTACTGGTGGTGTACATTATACCAAGGCAATAATGAAGTGCAGCTTTGCATGTGAAAAGAGTAAATCACTAATGTCTAGTGTCCTCTAACTAGTTACTAGAGAATAGTTGTTGTTAGTTGTAGACCTTAGCCAAAGACTATCTCTGCCTGAGTTTTTTCATTTAAAAATCGTCATCATCATTCGTCATTATATAGTTGGATTGAAGAATATTTAAGCTTTATCTCCAAATTTTTTATTATAAAAATGAATTGACTCCATAAAGACAAAGAAAAAAATGAGAAATTAAAGCCTCCAATGTAGAACATATTAGAGATACATAAATTAATGATATAAATAAGTACAGGAAAGCCTTAGATTGATTCTCCAGAGTTCAAAATGTTAGCAGGATTATTTTTTGTTTTGTTTATTTTTTCTGATGCTGAGGATTGAGCATCAAGAGAATATCAAACCTGTCTGACTTTTCCAGACCTTGGAATTTATGATCTTTGACACACTCCTTTCTCTCTTTGTCATTAAATATGAAAGATTTAAGGGCCTTGCATATGCTGGTTTTTTGATGAATTGTTTTCCTGGTGTCTCCAGTTGATTGAAGAAATTCTTATCATGCATTAACTTTTCTAGTCTTTTGAAACCTATTACTGTTTTTGTTTTTAACCATGTCTCTAAGGTACTGGTTAGTCTGCTCAGACCCCGCCTGTCTTTTAGTTTCTGAATTCTCAGTTCTCCAAAGTTAACCCTGCTTTCATATCTTGAACCTCCTTGTTCCCTTCATTTTCTCCCTACTCTCAAGCTTGGCATCCATGCTTAGCAAATAGTAGCATACTTTTCAGTTTCAATTTCTTCACACTCCTTCTCTGCTTCAAACATATATATACTTCTTGATCCTGATAAGGACTTTTTGCTTTGCTATTTCTCTCCTCCAAAATGCCACTGGTTTTTTGTTGTTTCGCTGCAGTTTGTATCCACACTTGCTGCCTCTGTTTCCTTATTTTTTTCCCATGAGTAAACAGACTGCTTGGAAGTAGGTAGTAATTGTTGGGAGTGAAAGACAAATGAAGCTATTTTGGACTAATTGTGACAGTCCCATGGAAATGCCTGTGATCTCTCACCATAAAAGGTACAGACTCGTGACAAGAACAGGACTGTAGCAGAAGTTCAAGAAGGCCTCCTCATTCACACAAGCAAAAGCTATGCGAGTTAACAAGTTCTTTAAAGTAGAAAATAACCAACAGATGGAAGCAGTAGATCTTTTAAGGAATGTTTATAATTAAGGAAGAGAAAAAGAACAATGGATTATAGAAGTTGGATAGATGTAGAACTAGCAGTGATTAAAATTTCAGAACTTAACTATTAACTTTTAGGGTGTTTGACTCAAAAAAGTTCACGAATACTCTATCTCCTATCCTTCTTTCCCAGGTCTTTGGATTTAGCAAAGCCTCCCAAGATCCCAGAGCTTCTTATTTTCTTCTCTTTGCTCTTTATGGGCTACCCATCTCTCCCTATCCAAGGCAGTATACACACCATTATACATACCCTTACCCCATACTAAGATAGAAAACCATCATGGCTCTCAGCTGGCATGCAGATACACAGAAGGACAGGTGTAAGGATCTGGTAAGAGAATGTAAATGAGTAGGAGAAAATAACAGTGTGAGCCATAAGGAAAGTGACCATTAATCACCAATATCCAGTTTATTTTGAAGATTATCTTGACAGTAGTTTGTTTCATTGTCATGCATTAAAATCTCTGGTAATCTTTTCCCTTTTCATGTTTCCTCTTATATATTAGACATATGGTCAGAGATCTTTTCTGTTTGTTTGTTTATACCAGGGATTGAACCCAGGTATTTCAGTCAGTTTGTTTGATGCTCTGACTAAAGGATCTGATCAGAACAATTATAAAGGAGGAAAAGTTTGTTTGAGGGCTCACAGTTTTAGAGGGCTCAAAATAAGGCTGAACATCATAGCAGAGTGTGTGGCAGAGGGAAGCAACTCACATCATGGTGATCAAGAAGTAGAGAAAGTCTCTACTTTCCAGATACAAATACATACACCAAAGCCACACCCTAATTCCTACCTCCTCCAGCCACACCCTACGGGGGCTAAGATAACCCAGTCATTTCTCCTCCGAACTTTATTGCATTGTCTCACATGTGAGCTTTTAGGGGACACCTCACATCCAAACCATAACACCAAGGATGCAGGGATGCTTAACCACTGTGCCACATACCCATCCCCATCCCCTTTTTGAGACAGGGTCTCACCAAGTTTCTTTTTTTTGAATTGGTTCTTTTAGTTATACATGACAATAGGATTTATTTTGACATCATTATAAAAAACATGAAATATTTGTTCTAATTCAGCCCGTAGTACTTCCCCTTCCCCTCCCTGTTCCCTTTCCTTTACTCTACTGATTTTTTGCTATTATAGTAGTTTTTTAAAATTAGTGTCTTGAGAATGTACATGATGGTGAGAATCACTCTGGTGTATTCATATATGTATATAGGGAAGTTAGGTTAGATTTAGTCCACTGTCTTTCCCTGTTCTGTCCCTCTTCCCCTCACTTTCATTCCCACTTTGTCTACTCCACTGTTCTTTTTTCTGTTGTTGAATGCCTTTCTTTTGCCAGCTTGTTCAATTGTACATTTCGTTGCCAGACAGGATGATTGTCTTTTTTCTGTCTGTATTCTGCAACCTAACATACTATTTTATGCTCAGTATTAGATTAATGGGTGGTGGGTAGGGAGGTGGATGGATAGATGAATTTTTTAAAAGTCTGTTTTAGAAGATTTTAATTTTAATGGGGATGGTAAATCTAAATTTCTTTCAGGTTGATTAAGAATAACTATTACATACTACATTAATATTTTTATGTGCCTAGAATCAGAAAGGTATTAAGCCATTACAGTTACCAAAAATTTGCTTGTTTTCCTAAGTAAAATATTGTATGTTGAAATTTGACTGACTTTAAGTAAAATAGCTTAGGATCTTCAAAAATATAGTGTGTGTGTGTGTGTGTGTGTGTGTATTAGAGAGAGAAAGAGCACGCATCACCATTACATGTCCGATCCACAATATTAGGTTCAATCCTTTTTATTTTTATTTTTTTAATTCCTATGGTCAAAACCAGGGCCTTGTACTAGGAGGTAAGCACTGTGCCACTGATCTAAATCTCCAAACCCTTAAAATAATTATTTCTTAAGGTACCTGTACAGAACTTGATTCTTTAAAGAAAGCTAATCTATGCAGTGGACGGAAATAGCCTTATCACATACAGGTAAAAAGCCTATTTCACAACTTAAAGCTAGCAGTCTTTTTTTTTTTTTTTTAAGTTAAAAAATATAGAATTGAGATGACCACATTGTGCACTCCTATAATCACAGGTACTCTGGAGGTTGAGAGAGAATGATTGCAAGTTCAAGGCCAGCCTCAGCAACTTAGACCCTGTCTCAAAATAAAAAGGACTGGGGAAATCTGGGAATAAAAGGAAAAAAAAAAATAAGCATTGGTTCCTGCCATACTGAGTCATACCCTGTGAAGTCTCCTGAAAACTTTAGCACTGTATCCCTGCAGATATTCTGTAACAGCCTTTTCAGAAATGGGAATGGCCACCTTTCCCAACCCTGGCCTCACAGTATTCCTCAAAGCCTGTCACCACCTGACCTTGTATGACCTGCTGCCACATGGCATATTCAAGTTGTGAACCATCCAGCTCCTATACTAGTGGGGCATCTGGTCCTTGTCTGCTTGTCTAAATCTGTAATCCAGCACTAGAAGAGTTTAGCACACAAAAATACCCTCAAAAAATATTTGTGAATAAAGATTGAATTTTTGAATGAAAAGAAGGCGGGGGGGTAGCTCTGTGTTACAGCACACCTACACCTGAGTTTAATCCCTAGTGCTGCATGCATTCATGCGCGCGCGCACACACACAACGTATGTGTATCTCTCTCTTTCTCTGTATATACATATGCATATATATATATATATAATTGGATAAAAAATATTTTTTAAAAAAGCAATAAGATTTTAAATAGATGTTTCTTAAATCCTGCTTTTAGTAGTATCTAGATAGTTGGGTGGGTTAGCCTGTACATATACTTGTACATGTACATATACATACAGACACAAAATAGACTGCACTTATATTCCTTGTTATAAAACCTTCACTTTCAATTCCTGTAGTTAAGTACTACCAGAGTTGGATGGCATATTTAAGTCAATGCAAGATGGAAACTTATCTTACTAATATGTTTACTCTCTAACTTTTAGTTCTCAGACATATCTTAATTTTAGCAGATAGCACCTTTTTGTATATCATAACAAGAGTAATGATAGAATAAGCTCTGTTTCGGGGAGTTTACTGTGTAAGTTGATTACTAGCTCATTGATATGGTTTGAGATGGATATAGGTTCATTATGTCTTCTTTTTTTGTTAGACTGGTATCTTATTGTTAATAATACAATAATTTCATATACATTTAAGAGTGGGCTCTAATATTTGTGTCTTCTCTAGAACTGTCAAGTAATCCACCTTTGGCTACCATCCTTATTCCTCCTCATGCCCGAATTCAAGCAGCTGCTTCCACCCCTACAAATGCCACAGCAGCCTCAGGTGAGGATATAAGTGTCTTCTATAAAAATATATTCTGTTTTCTAAAAAGATGATTACCCCTGTTTCATTTCATAGGATAAGTATAAACATTTCATTTCATTTAAAGATCCAAAAAGGCACAACCAAATGAGTAAAAGTGAATAAAATACTGCTTTAGTTCCAAAATGCACAAGATAAAAGCACTCCATAAATACTTCATGTATGTACTTTATATATAAGATATAAATATCTAATTAATTTCTTGGTTAATATATATCAAATGAGATGCTTATAACAGAAAACAGTTTGTACAATATAATGCTATTTAGGATATTTCACTATAGTTCTTTTTATCCCCTGAATGTTAATGATATTAATATACTGAGGAGGCAAATTTTTAAGTATACAATATAGATTGGTATAATTTTTAATCATTTGGAAGGGCTAAAGGTATAATGAAAATACATTTAACCAAGTTTTAGCTCCAGGTGTGACTAGATTCTTGTCTAGACTACAAAGTTAGAATTGGAGTGTGCTGCTGGTCCCATAAGCCAGCTAATAACAGGGCCTAATTTCATGAGAATCACTGTCGTTACAAATATTTTGAAAATCCCTAATTCTTGAATGAATTGAATTCCTCCAGAGAATGGCTGGATGCTATTTTACATGAAATTAGAAACATAATAGGTAACACAAATAGGGGCTCAGAATTTGGTGCCCCCCTTTAAAAAAAAAACCAACAGAAAAACTGGTGGCAGAAGCTTACGCCATTTTCTTTTAGTTATCACACTGAAAAAGATCAGACCATATTTGCTTATGGGAATTTATGTTACAGGAAATTAAAAAAAAATCTTTCATTATAATTCTTAGTACTCAACAGTAATGGTGAAAATCCATCTCCTATTGTCTGAAACAAAGCAGTTTCTGTCCAGTCTTAATCTTTTTAGTCAATTTTTACAATGTTGCTAATAAAGATTAAAAAGATTTCATTCTCATTCATGTCCTACCTTCCAGGAAAATTCTATAAAGAAAGTTTCTTTTAGCTCCATTTCCACTAGCACATGCTACCTGGAGAAAGTCCTTTGAACTTTACTAATAAGTATTTTATTTGTTTTCTCAATCTATAAAATGTGTATCTTGGAGGGTTAGAGCTTCAGGCATCTGAATTTGACTCCTGACTAAAGGCTAGCTTGATATCTTGTGCCATATCTTTCCTAGGAATAGGAAAAAGAGTTGATGATGCATTCCTAAGGTGAATTTCCTCTCCTTTTCCCTTATTATCATACACAAAATTAACAAAATAATAGTAGAGATTATGAAGAGGAAAAACTTTGATCTCATTAGTGTAGTTTATTACTTCAATTAAATGTAAGCTTAGGCTATACTTTGATTCTTATGATAGTCTTATTTGTTCTGTATCAGGAATGACACTAATATCCGAAACATGGTTTTACAATAGATGCATTTCTATTTGGAACAGCTTGAATAGGAGCATCTTAAGTTAGCTGCATATAATAAACAATACATCTCAAACTATCAAAATTTTATCTTTTAGAGGAGCTGACCTGTCATGTGACATTTTTAACCATTTTAAACATTTTTGTCTGGTGAGTGGAAACACACTTAAAATCGGCTTTAGAAAGATTGGTTTGGGGGCTGGGGATGTGGCTCAAGCAGTAGCGTGCTCACCTGGCATGCGTGCGGCCCGGGTTCGATCCTCAGCACCACATACAAACAAAGATGTTGTGTCCTCCGAAAACTAAAAAATAAACACTAAAAAATTTCAAAAAAAAAGAAAGATTGGTTTGGGGAAGAGTATAATAAAGGTGCCGCAGTCCGGCTGCAGCAAAATAACTGGGGTGGGGGTGTGGGGGAGTGGGGGACGAACAACTTGTGTACATTAATACAGCAGGAGTGGGAGCCATTTATTGTAGGACAGGAGGGGTATATTACACACAGCTTATCTTAATTAACATAAACTAGATACAGCAGTCAACCAATAAGGAATCTCCACACTTAATGGCTCGCTGGCGTTACTTCACAAACCACTCCCTCTGGCAAAATGCCAGGCGCCATCTTGACTTGTTTACAGCTCTTAACATAAAGGAAATAAAGGAATCAAAGTATACTTAAGTTCTCAAGTGTATTTACACACTTGTACATGTAAACACAAAAAAGCTAATTTGATTAGCTAAAATATTCTATCTTGCTAATATGCCAATAATAGAAATATTAATTTATTTTAATATTTCTATTATTTATAAAGTAATTATAAATTACTTTATAATTTTCTATTATAAAGTGTAATATTTAATACTTTTGTAGCTTTTGAGAATTTGAAACATGCTTAGGGCAAATTAGGAACTGAATTTTAATTTTTATTATTTAATTTAAGTAGCCAGTTGTAGCTAGGAGCCACCATATTGGAGAATGCAAATAGAACATTTCTGTCATTGCCACTGGACCATACAATGAGCATTTTTTTTCAAAAAATATTTTTTTAGTTATAGATGAACACAATATATTTATTTATTTATATTTATGTGGTGCTGAGGATCAAACCCAGTGCCTCACACATGCAAGGCTCTACCACTGAGCTACAGCCCCAGCCCACATGATCATTTTTATAAATTAAAAAGCTTTATCTTTAAACCCACAGTTCTGTAATACTGATTCATGATAGCAGAGCCTTTGGAACCCCACCTCCTATGTTTGTTCTCTGTCCTGTCCTCCCAACATGTTTCCTTCATTTCTACTTTCTTTTTATTTAAAACTTTAGCAACAATTTTAAGTGTGAGACCTTCCATTCACTATACCTTCCACTCTCCATTTGCATGTTTGATCGATCACGTTAGGTGCAAGAAAAGTGGATGGGAGTTGGTGATGTTTATTGTGGGTGGGCAGTGAAGAGGCAATGAGGAATCAAGGCAAGAACTCTTGAGTTTATGACTTGGGCTTCTAGGTGGGACAGTTTCCCCAACTATCAACACTTACAGACCTCTGTGAATCTGGGGTTGGGGATGGGGGTGGGGAATGAATCATATCCTAGAAAAAAGTATATGTGTACCAGATATAGAATTTTACATATAAAATTTTATGTAGGATAAAAATCTCAACCTCATGGACTCAGCTAGAAACCTGACAGCTGCAGGTTCTACCCTTGGCTTCACTATGGCATTACCTGAGTCCTTGTTTATACCTCTGAAATTACATGGAATAAATATTGGGTTTACCAAGCATAGTAGCACCTACCTATAGTCCCTGCTACACAGGAGACAGACATAGGAGGATCACTTGAGTCCAGGAATTCAAGGCTAGGGCATTATAGCAAGACCCTATCTCTTTAAAAATTAAAAAAAAAAAAAAATGAAAGTACAAATTCCCTTTGTAATGTCTGATATAAAAGCCTTAGAACCAAAACCATTCATGGAAAAACAACTGTTCATCTGATTCTTGTTTTATACGGCTTATTAGGTATACATCTAAGGGACTTAGTGATGCTTTCATAGGCTTGTGAACACAAACCCTAAATGGCATTTAAGTTCTTTGATATATACATATGTATTAGTTATCTGTTGCTACATATAAAGTTACCCCAAAATTTAGTAACTTAAAGCAAGAATAAATGTTGTTTCTGTGAGTCAGAAATTCAGAAGCAGCTTAGCTGTATGGTCAGGGTCTTTCATAAAGTAGTTAAAATGTCAACCCTTTCGTCTTCTAATGGCTTGCCTAAGGCTGAAAGATCTGCTTCTGGAATGGCTTGTTCATGTGGTTAGCAGATCTACACTGGCCTTAGTTACATTCACCTTGTGGACCTCTCTGTATCTCACATTGTGATAGCCAGCTTCTGTTAGAACTGGTGATCCAAGAGAGAGGGCAAGATGGAAGCCACATGTCTTTTATATCTTAGCCTTGGAGTCATATACCATTATTTTGACAATTTCCAGGGTGGGAAGGGACTGCACTAGGGTTTGGACACCAAAAGGCATGAATCATTGGGATTATCTTGGAAGGTGACCCACCACAATCTATAAGGATGATGTTGTACCTTCCTACCTGTGCTTCTTCCCTCTAAAGTTGATAATTCTGTATCCTCTCAAATCTATACTGGATTTGATGGAACAGAGTTATTTTTCCATAGTAGCATCAAAAGGATGATAATGAGAATTGTTTCTAGGGAGGTTTCAGGTCTGTGGAATTCATCTCTAGAGCCATTTCCAGACTATCCCATTCAGACTATTTGAAAATTAGAAAATAAATTATTTGCTTAGTTCTTATTATAAATTAAATATTGTCTTAATGTAATATAACTCTTTTCGATAATGGACCTCTAGAAATCACACTGGATTTTGTTGAAATTAGTTCTAAATAAAAGTCCCTTTAAACTCTTCCATCCCTTTGCTAGGAAATCTTGTCTGCTGTCCCCTATTGCCCATAAAGGTCATCATTGTCCTCTGTGCTCTGCTCTTCCACTTACTAACTGTATGGTCTTAGTTATGTTAATCTCATTATGACTTATGTTTTCTGTTTGCCTGATGGTGGAGATAATTGTACATATTTCTCGTAGGTGCTATGTAGTCTAAATGTGATGCCTACAGAGAACTTAGTATGGTGTGTAGCACACTGGTAAGCAAGCACCCAGATATTTATTGTGATTTTGCTGGCACTAATATTTATTGTTATTGTGGTTATTGTAGTCACACTAGATTATGAAAATATATATTACATAAATAAAAATGTATTTTAGATGTATCATTTACCATTCTGTTTACTGAACAATTACTACATGCCAAATGTTATGGCACATACTTCAGAGGCCTTATTTTATAGACAGGAGGTATTATTACCATTTTGCCATTGAGGAAATTTAAGGGTAGAAAAGTGGAATAATTCGTTCCCAAATCACAAGGCTGTTAAGATGCACAAATTGTCTTTATACTCATAAATGTTCATGGAATTGGACTAGGTTAAGAAAGATGTATCAGTGTAAGCCAGGCATGGTGATACACACATGTAAATTTAAGGCCAGCCTGGGCAACTTCAGGTTTCAAGAGTATGTGTGACCAAAATAATTAACTGCTAAAATTTACTCATGAAATGATTTGGAAATAATTCTGAGAAAAATATGAGGTCATTTAATTATAATTCTGAGGAACATGAGTGTTTTTGTCAAATTTTACTGATTGAAAACTGAATTCATTTCTGGTTATATGTTCACATGAAAGGCCTGTGATTTTTATTATGATCATATAGACAGCTTTTGAATTTCTCCAAAGAAGGGTAAACTAGTTTGGTCACTGTCATAAGCTCTCAGGCGATAGCCAGTGAAAGGATATCTGAAAACTAGCTAGCTAGCTAAGTAGGATTCTGCTTAAGAGCAAATTTTTTTTAAGAGGATCACAGGTTTTTGTTTGTTTGTTTGTTTGAATATTTATTTTTTAGTTATAAGTGGACACAATATCTTTATTTTATTTTTATGTCATGCTGAGGATTGAACCCAGTGCCTCACATGCTAGGTGAGCGCTCTACCTCTGAGCCACAACCCCAGCCCCTAAAGAGCAAATTTAACATAAATGGACAAGTTGCCTTGTAGGTGAGGTGTTTACTGAACTTGGTAAACAACTAGTGTCAGCCATCATGGCTAATGGCCACCATGGGCAGGGCTGCTCACAGTGCTAGTTTGCATGATGATGTAGTAGTCAAACACAAATGAATTCCTGATAGCCTCTCTCTTAAGTCTTGGGTTTGAAGACCAGAATAACAGTTCTGAGTATCTCATTCTAATGCTGAAATTGAGGTAAGTACTATTTGATGATGATCATGTCCTGAGTGTCATTCACAGCACAGGAAATGCAACAATAAGCATGGATTTATGTGGAACATTAGAATTCTGAAATAGCTTTGTGGTCTTTGAGGCTTTTGCTGGAATGTTGTTTTTAATGCAGCCTGTCCTTGAATCATTAAAATGAGTATTTTTTCCTGAGAAAGGCTTGAAGGAATTTGTGGTTAGGGAGGAATTAATGTTAGATTTTCAGTGCACAGAATTTGAATGCGCATGGATGGTACTACCCCTTTGAGCTGAGCATATCTATGGAAGGCCAGGGATCATGAATGAGGTATTAGACCTAATTGCTCACTAATTATTGGACAAGGCTGTCTACCTGTCTTTGAAAAGTAAGTTCTGTGTCCCGGGCTCTCTCATGCAGCTTACTCATGGACCTTATACTGATGAATTAGGATGACTCCAGCCATGGGCAATATAAACCATTAGCATGGACTCTGATGTTGCATTTATTTACACAACAGCAGTACTAGAAGCAGCTGCAGGTGTTTTGAAGAAATTAAATGAATTAACTATAACCATTCAAATAAAGAGGTATTCTCATTTCTTTTCCCAAAGATTGAGTTAAATGTATATAAGGGCAGATTTAGAAAGGAAGTATAGTTTTACATAGAGTGGCTATAGAAATGATAACCGAATAGCTAATCCTTAAGTAATAAAGTTCCTTTGTGTCCTTGTGAGTCTTTTGTGTCTCACTCTAATTCAGAAATTCAAAGTAGAAAGATCCAAGACCAGATGTTTACATTCATCTGTGACATTGGTTACTCTGCCTATCATAGGACAAGTGTGATTGCAGATCCCTTTAAAGGTTCCTGACAGACAAAAGCTTCTGGGTCTGCTTTTTGGTGTTACCAGCCTTGATGACCAAGAGCAGTGTGGCTTCTAAGGAGATAGCTCTTGGAAGTTGGCCATCCCAGTCAAGCAACCTCTCTTTCTCTGGGAAAAAAATGAAATCTTTGTGAGAAAAATTGACCAACAGTATATTCCTGGTGGTTGTGCATGAAGCAAATGATTAACCACTGAAATAGCAGGCTATTCCCTATCCAGGATGGAGAGCCAATCTGGAAACAACTAGATGGCCATTTAGTTAATGGATGCTATAAAATAATAATGGTTCTTTAAAAGAGGGGAAATGGGGATAAAAGTTGGTTGTTAATATACACATTTGTAGAGGATCAGGCAAGATAAGTTATTAGCCCAACATATTTGACTACAGGATGCTTTACTGTATCGTATTAAGTAAATTGGTACCATAGTGACTATTTCTTTTTTGCTGTCTTTCATCTCTATGAATAATGAAGAGTGGCTATACTTAGAAAACAAGCAACTGAGTTTGGTTTATATCAAGTACTTCTGCCTATCAACACTGACCCATTATTACTTTCATTTTCTTCATCCATTCAGCAAGCAGATAGTATATTATAACATGATTCAGGATTTTTAGTAAGTTTTCCAAGCTACGTGCTATTCATTTGTTTTTAAGTAAGCCCCTCTCCATCTGAGTCTTCATGAACTGCTGATCCCAGCTATAGTAAGAGCATTCACAGGAATGGTCTCTGAGTCCCTGAGTTGATAATTTAATCAAAGTCACTGTCTCCTCTGCACCAGGACCTTGCCAAGTCATGTACCTTAGCTTCTAAACAGGAAGAAATTTAGATGTCAAACTGTTGGCCATATTTAAACCAACATGCCAGAAAACAGTTTGGAAGGCCACAACAGCTCACAGTCTGCAGTTAAGGCAATGTACTTGTTTTCTTTAGAGAATTATGCCATTGTTCATACTCTCTTGGGACTTTGAATTTGCAGATGCTAATGCTGGAGACCGTGGACAGACCAATAATGCTGCTTCTGCGTCAGCTTCCAACTCCACCTGAACAGTCCCAAGCAGTCAGCTGCACAGGAAAAACCACCAGTACTTGAGTGTCACTCAGCAACACTGGTCACGTTTGGAAAGAAAATTAAAAAGAGAAAAAAAAAAAAAACTGTTCATTTTAGTGTTCAATTTTTTTTATTATTATTGTTGTTCTTATTTAACCTTGTAAGATATCTATAAATACAAAACAATTTCATTGTATTCTCACTTTGCGGGAGACCCAGAGGGTGGGAGGGGTAATGGGAGGGGGAAAGCGGAGCACTAGAAGACACAATCTCTCTCCCACGACAATCTTTTTTTTTTTTTTAATCAAAAGTCTGCTGTTGTACACTTTAAAAACAGGACTCCTGCCTCATGCCCCTTCCACAAGAGAAGAAACCTTGTTCTGTACTGAAGTATTTGTTTTGTTTTGTTTGAACTTTGTTTTCTTTTCAAGTCTAGTGTCAGACTTTGGCATAGTGCACAGCTTGAAATTGGTTGGGAGCTTAGCAGGTATAACTCAACAGGGGCTTACATGTCACTTGTAAAATTAATCCATATCCTCGGGTATTTGAAGACTTGGCTTTGGCATGTTGGTGGCAGGTGTGGCAGACAAAAAAGGAAATGTGTATCATTTGTAACCAAGGTAGGTCAATAAAGTTTGAAGCTGTAAGGGGGAGATACTGAATTGATTGGTTAAGTTTGGTTTTGTTCTTAGTCAGTACTACTGGTGAGAAAGCTGGTAAAGCAGGCTCCCAAAGGGGAGCAGCAAGCAGAACTCTAGTTCCATAATGGGGTTTTGTTTTTGTTTTTGTTTTGCCTTACCAAAGGTTCTCTGCAAATCTTTGTACAGTTTTAAATTAGTGACCTAGAAGGGGATTGGAAAGGTTGTTGAACAGGCTATACTGGCTGCACAGGTCAAAGGCACCTGGTGAGACTAGAGGAAGGACACAGGCTGGGGCAGATCTCACCACTGTGAATGAATTCGTCCAGATTTTTTTCTAAAGTTACTTCCCTTGGAAAGATATATTTAAGAGAGGACATTATAGTTAAGTAATGTGAACTGTAACAGTCTACTGCTTTATTTTTCATCTTTCTAATAGAAAAACAAGGTTTTAGGAATTGCCACCTTCTACACATAGTTATTTTAAATCCAAATCTAGACTCTATTTAATTTTAGCTTTTTTAACCTCATGCTTTTAAAATTTATTTATTGATGCATGCCCAATAGGCCATTATGATTTTAGGTGGTAGGAATATTAAAAACTACCTATCAAAATTATATAGTCACCTGTACGTACCTGCTGACTTCATAGGGAAACTGATGCTATAAATGTGTGTATATAGTTATATATACAGATACTCAATACTGCCTTTTCTTTTTTGTCTCCAGTATCAAAATTGACTGGTTGAAGCATGAAAAGAATGTTTCCCCACACACACCCAGTTAAGAGTTTTGTTTCTATTTTCTTTATCAGTGAATGGTGTAAGAATCAGTCTATTGTTTTGGGGGAAAAAAAAAAGCAATATTCCTTGGAAAGCAAGGAAGATTGAAGAATTATGTTTGCAGTAAAGAGATAGATTTTCACAACTACTTTGTTTTATACTTTTAAGGTTGGTATCTATGTGGGCCTTATATACTCTAAAATGAACCTTAGTCACCTTGGTGCTTATGGGCCATTACTTGACCTATGAATCTTTAAGGCACAATCAGTTATATTTTACATTTAAAAGATCACTTGAGTGATGGCCACTTTTTCCTCCTGCCCTCTCCTTCCCCACACACCTTCCAAGGTTAGCTGATAATTGTAGGGCTGCAGAGCTGAACCCTAGATTGTGTGTAATCTCCTTTACCCTCCTCATTGCCACTTAGGTCATGTTGGGGTCTCGCCCTCCAGGTGGTTAGGAAGTGGAGTCTCTTGGCAGCCCATGTGCAGGCCCTGAACCCTGTCCTGCTTCTTGACTTTGTGTGCAACTCTCCAAGAGAGTTATGCTGCCTGCTGAAGTGAATTGACACCCAGAAAGACAACTGTGAGCCATCTTAGTGTTCACTCACTGTTTAGCTAAGCTCTTGGGCCACAAAAGGGGTTTCTTAAACCTCTTGTTCTATCAGAGTTCATGAGAAAAGATAATGTTCAGTCAAACCAAATAAAATAGTGAATTTCGCTTTTTATAAAGTGCTTCTGAGAGCTAGTTAAGATTGAAAAAAATCTGAAAGTATTTGGCAGCATAGTTTCTTAAAGGAACTATAGACCATTACAGAAAGGATTTATAAAGAATCTGAACAGGTAGGTCTGTGACAGAGAAATGGACCTGTTTTCAGATCAAACTGCCCAGTCAGACGTTTGGATACGAACACTATTCTGGACTTGGTATACTTGCTGGAGTCCATAAAAATCAGTACTTATTTTAGGAAACACTTTTCCCCCCATAAATGGGGTAAGAGAAGAAGAGAGAAAAGTCAGATGCTTTTCTCTCACTTTAGTGTGTGTGTGTGTGTGTGTGTGTGTGTGTGTGTGTGCGCGTGCACGTGCACCGGGGTGCATGATTTTTCTTTCTCACGGATCATGGCGGGATCACAGAACTCTTTTATACAAGTGAGATCCAGGTCTCTGGATATCTTTTTGTAAATATAATAATAATAATTAAAAGCTCCTCACCAAATTCAAGCTTGTACATTATATTTTCTTTCAGTGTTCTTAAATTTAAGTTTTATTGTTTTGTATGTAAATATGTGGACCCAGGAACTGTTATTAATGAGCAAAAAGTTACTGTTCAGGGCAGTGATTCTGTTTAATAATCAGACAAAATGTAGACGAGCTTTTTAAAGCCATATAGTTTTAACTCTGTACAGTAGGTACTGGCCTGTATTATTGTAACAATAACTCTAGCAATGTATAGTGTATCTATATAGTTTGGAGTGCCTTCGCTTCCATGTGTTTGGTTTTTTTGTTTGTTTTTATTTTTATTTTTCATTTAAAAAATTTTATTTGGTTTCCTTTATCCACGTCTCCCTGTCCATCCCCTTTCCCTTTGAAATAATATAACTCACAACAGTATCTTTGCCCCCTCCACAATTAAGTTTCGGTGATACACCATGCTCAGGAGTGGGAAGAGGAAACCATGTTCATAATCTCATTTTATTCAAGCCCTGCATTTGTTTTAGTTCTGAATGTCTGTTTCCTCCTCTGTAGCAATGACCGTTTCATTTGGTACTTGGTCCATTCAGGGACTTAGTATAACACATGGAGCCCTAGAGCTGGAGGATATCAATAGATTAGATTTTGTTTATCTCTTCCACAAGCCCTAACCGTGGGTTTTACGAACAGCAGATTCTAGGAGCCTTCCATGCTCAAGCAGGCGCTCATTCTTCTTCCTCCCTCCTTCCCCACCTCCCCGCACCAGCCCCCTTACTGACTTCCCTCCCAAATGACACAGGAAGAGAAAACTGGTTTAGTATTGGGTTTTGATACATCAATGGTCTAAAATTCTCTCTTGCAATGGCTTGAAGTTAACTGCACAGAATGCCACCATGCCCATAGAAGGCTGTTCTAACAAGGGAACTCAACCCATTCTCTCCCTCCTGCCATCTCTACTCTGTTCAATGACATGTCATTTTAATTTTTTAAATCAGTTTAATTTTGACTGTGTGCCCAACATGAAGGCCTTTTTTGGAAAAAAAAATATATATATATATATTTTTGTTTTGCCTCCAAGTACTCCATATAAAATGTCTTGAATAGAAGAAAAAAACACTTTACCAAACCAAAGGTTGCTATTTTTGAAACATCATATGTTCATTCCAGCAAGGTAGAAGACTGCACCTTCTTTCCAATGACATGTGTCATTTTAAAAGTCCTCTTAATTTTTACACCCATCTTGGTTTGTGTTTGAATAAAGTATGCCTAACCAATCATCTCATCTGCACCAATGCTAAGGTTTCTGAGAGGACTATTATATTCTCTATCCCTGTGGATATAAAGACACTGGCATTTCATTTCTTTTCTCTTTCCTTTTTAAAGGATTTAACTTTGGAATCTTCCAAAGGAAGTTGGCCAATGCCAGATCCCCAGGAGTTTGGGGGTTTTTCTTTGGTTTAAACCAAAATTGTACCTGATTCATATTGTTCATGTTAGTGATCATCTAATCACAGAGACAAAACACTTTTCTCCCCTCTATAGAAAAATAAGCATGCTCTACAATAAAACCTGTCTTTTCTGGTAGAAACCTGAGCCACTGAAAATAAAGAGACAACTAGAAGCACAGTAGAGTCCCAGATTAAGGTCTTCCTTAGAGGCTTTGAAAGTAATCCCTGGGGTTTGGATTATTTTCACAAGGATTATGGTGTTTATTATTAGAGTTTTTGCTCCGTTTTGCACCTCTGCAATAAAAGCAAAATGACAACCAGTACATAAGGGGTTAGCTTGACAAAGTAGACTTCCTTGTGTTAATTTTTAAGTTTTTTTCTTATATCTGTCTACAGGCAGATACAGATAGATGTATGAAAATGTGCTTGCCTGTAAAATTTGCATTTATAAGTGTGTTGCCGATGGATCACTTGGGCCTGTACACATACCAATTAGCGTGACCACTTCCATCTTAAATACGAATCTAAAAAACAAAATTTATTATATATATATATAAAGGACTGTGGGTTGTATACAAACTATTGCAAACACTTGTGCAAATCTGTCTTGATATAAAGGAAAAGCAAAATCTGTATAACATTATTACTACTTGAATGCCTCTGTGACTGAATTTTTTTTTTCATTTTAAATATAAACCTTTTTTGTGAAAAGTATGCTCAATGTTTTTTTGCCCTTCCCCCATTCCCTTGTAAATACATTTCGTTCTATGTGACTTGGTTTGGAAATAGTTAACTGGTACTGTAATTTGCATTAAATAAAAAGTAGGTTAGCCTGGAAATGAAATTAAAATTCACAAGTGTGTGGTCTTTATTTCAGTACCCATCCCTCTCTTCACCCTATTTTGCCACTGCAGTAAGTAGTCACATCACCATCTTTAATTAGGGAAACATGAATCTTTATTATAAAAATCAAGGTATGAACACCACATCTCATTGTTTCAAATGACCTTACTCCACTGTATTAGCCACAAGAAGTGCAGCTTCCAGCTTGGAAACCTTTGGATTTGATGTAGAGGAATCTTTGTAGACACTGCTTTGAAAACAAAGGAAATGTCCCTAAAAGGGACAGTTGTAAAAATGTGTAAGAGCTGCTGTCTTCGATTACTGTGTGTTCATGGTTTGGTGTAGCTGTATTTTCTTTAACTTTTATCCTATTAGTAATGGTCTTTGGGGGTCTCTGTAAAATATATGAACACCACAAACTGTTGGCTTTACCTCCCAGGTAACCAACATGTTGTTTTTGAGTCTGCTCATTGCTAATACTGGATAATGTATGTAAACATGTTATGTCTCTTAGTGCAAAAGAAACATTTTTTAGGACTGGCAAACTGTCAGGCCTAATCTAAAGACTAGCTATAAGGTCATGTGACTGCTGCTTCAATAAAAACAAATTTATATTCGATAAAGTGTGGTCCTCTTATTACTGATGTTGTGGGATGGGCAAAATCAATCACATTTGTAAATAGTTAAATGCAGTTACTAGTGGTAGGGGAGGGCTGGTTCAGCAAAAACATGTAAGATGTTACTTGCGGGATGGGCTTCTTGGTGGCACTGAAATGCATTTTTGCCATCTTGTGTAGGTTCTACCTTAGCTGTTTGAATTGGCATTAAGTGTCCTGCAAGAAGCTGCATTAACTTGGAATCCTGGAAGACTCCCTGTTTAGTTTCCAAGTCCTTCCAAAATGTGATGACCATACAGTCCTTTGGGATTCACATTTCTAGATGCTATTTTTTGTGAAAGCAAGTGAACAAAAGCAGTGGATGGTCACCCATTCCTCAGGTATAGAAGTAGTTAATCCAACCCATCAGCACCATCAGATTCACGGCAGCTATGGACACATAAAGGGAAGCAAGGAGGGATCAATAAGCTGCTGAGGAAGGGGGCGTGCAGGAAGAGGCCACTGAGTCTGGAGTGAGAAAGGCTGATGATGAAATGTTTTTCTTTATAACCTCTTTAAAAAAAAAAAAAAAAGCCACTCTGGGCCTTCTCCCAAGTGAAGATTTGTCTTTAACAACTTTAGACAAAGTCTGGGACAAGGTGAGAGAGACCACTGAGTGACTGACTGATAGGGGAGCCAGAAGGTAAGCAGTAGCCTTGGAGATTAACTTCATCTTTTCCTGACTGAACCAGGTACTAGAAAAAGAGATCCATAACTACAGAAATGCCTAGAAGTTGATGCTTAGTTCTATTTGCTCAAAAGCTCGGGGTAGTGAGTAATAAGGAAATCCAAATTATTTGGGGGGTAGATAAATTGAACCTGGCTCCTAGTCCTATAAACTTGAGATCCACAAAGCTGCTGAAAGGAAGTATCCTGTGAGAGCTCTTTGGTGCATCTAACTTTGAATCTTTTCTCTTGAAATACACTTAGTTTTCATAATTTATATAAACCATACGTACATATTTGTTTAATATTGGGGAGCTGCCTGGGTGTTTTTAAAAACAAAACTGGGGGAGGGGAGTTGACCCATCTTAATCTCACCTTAACTTTGCCTTACTCTAACCTACATCCAACAACAATTTCAGCCACTTGGGTGAATAGCACACTCAAAAATTTATTTCCTCCAGGGAAAGGAAGGGGCATACATTACTGGTGAATATAGTTGAATGAAATGTATATCTCCAAATTATAAACTTACATTTCTAATTATAACTGAGTAAAAATTAAACATAAATTAGTTGAAATTCCTGGGAGCAAAAGCTGTATTTATTGAGCTTGTAGAGAGGCACTTTATTTTTCCTTGGGTTTTTCTCTAAAAATGGGTACTTTATCTCCTTGATGCAGAGAAGGTTGGTGAAACTGGAGGGATGTCAGGGAATATGTTTACTTCTTTGATTTGTATTATTGATTTCTTAATGTTTTCAACGTTGCCCTGCTTTTTATAAAATGGTGAAAACTAAGCAATTATCTGTTTCTTAAAATTCAGTTTACCTTACAGCTTCATTTGCAACCAAATATTAAACATTTAAAATTAATTCATTTGCATTTTAATTATGATGTGTATATCCTTTAAACTTTAATTCAGAACAATTATTTTATGAGTAAATCAAGTTAATTCATTTGTATGTTCTTAGACCAACGGTTTTCCGATGTATAAAAGGCAATAAGTAGTGAAAAAATGTATATATGTGTGTGTCTGTATTTTTATTTCTACTTCCTCACTCCCACATTTCTTTCTTCCCCAGATTAGAATGCCAACATTTTTTTTACATCTTTAGCCAAACCTTTTTCCTTGATTTGACATTAAACCAGGAACACATTTGCTAAAACTATTAAATGCCTTATTAAATTAATAAGATAATAATGTATTATTATCTTATTAAGATAATAATGTAAATAATGTATTAAGTGCCATATGTAAAATTAAACTTGTGACAATGCAAACAGTTTTACTCACAAATAGCTATAACAAGGCTGACACTCCCACATTTTTCAGTTTGGAGAACAGCATATTGACACAGGAATACGAGTGCGTGCAAGTGGTTTTACTCTAGCACATTTATTCACTGTCACTGTAGCCTTGTGACAGCACACAAGTGTTAACCAGCCTCAGGAGCAAACCCAGGCCCAGTCAGATGGGGAGCAGATAGACCTGTGCTAAGTCACACACAGGTACCCACAGACACAGTTCCCATCCCTTCTTTCCATAAGCACATCCTAGGGAGTCTTCACTGAGCCCAGGTGCCCACAAAATCTCAGTGCAGCTCAGCATCCACACAAAAATATTCCTCGTGCTTCTTATGTGTGGATTGTCCTTTTGGTCTGCATCATTGGTGTTTCAGCTTTTGTTGTCATAAATATGAACTATTCAAGGTCAGAATTGACATCTAAATCAACACTGTACACCACCCCACAGCAGGCTGCACAGTGTTGGTGCTTAATGATGGGTTTGGGTAGATGCAGAGACACAGAATGACGTGCTCAGCGTGAGGTTATGACCATTTTCTGACATTCAGTGCAGGCTTCTCAGCTTCTCTCAAAGACACCACAGACATGCACCTGCCTATGAGCACAGGCCTGGAACCCACCTGGCAACTCAGGGCAAGAGGCTGAGGATGGGAATGAGCGGGGAGTGGAAGGCAGGACTATTAGAGGTAGCAGTGAAAAGACTCAAGCCTGTAAACTGGGGTATTGATGGAAACCCAGCCTCTAGCTCCTTCCTCTCCACCCACCACAATATTTCAAGGGATTTAGTGGGATTTGGGGATTTATTACTGGACCACAGAACTTTGTCTAAGGGAAGGGCAGCCTGGCCTCTAACAGTCCTGACCTAAATAGGCCAGTTCATGCTGCACATAGGGTCCATGGCTTCCCTGTCCACAGTCTGAACTGAGGACTGGGAGACTCAAGTCCCCTCTTTGAGGAATGCTAACCAGCTATGGTGTCCATCTGTCTATCCCCAGAAATGGCAGCTTGGCAAGCTCTGGTCTCGCTGTCCCACCGAGGCTCTACCCAAGGGCAGCCACTCAGCCATCTGTGGGGCTGAACAATTCTCTCATGAGGGGTGTGGCGAAGGGGTGTGTGTCTTGGATGCGCAGCAGCCTCTGGGTGTGCTGGGCATTGATGCTGCGCAGTTCGGTGAGTACAGCCATGATCTTCAGGAACAGGAACCTGTGGACCAGCCAGAGGAGAGGTTGGGATGCAGCCATTCCTCTCCTGGACCCTCCAGCCCTAGCCCTGTTCTGAGGGCATGCAAGTTTATTCTCAGGACTTCTCAGGTTCAGGTCAGCCAAGAGGCAAGGCTTGGCTGAATTCCTTCAGCCCGTGCACAAGAAGGGCAGAGTAGTCTGTGGGTACTTGGGAGCCATAATCTCCTTCCTCATCTATGGATTTTGAGTCTTTGTTCATAGAGATCTCAGTGGAAAATCCAGATCTTGCGGATGCCATATGCCTAGGTTAATTTGGGGGTAAAGGGAGTCACTATCTTGGTTAATGTCCGGGGCCCAGAAGTGAGCAGAATAGTTGTGGAGGTTAGGGACTGCAGGCTGGAATCCCTTCCTGGATCCAGCTCTGGATTTAATGTCTATACACACCACATGCCTCAGTTTCTCCATGATGACAGCTGGCACCTCAAGCCTGCTGGCTCCATACAGGGAACAACTGAGCAAATAAAGTCATGGCCACCCTAGCATCCCAAGATGCTGAGCAAAAAGAAAGCAGTGTAAACCAAGTGAGAATTTGAGTTTCAAGTTCACACTATAATAGCTAGTGCTGGCCTTAACCGTCATGGGTTTGTGTTCTCCTAAATTCAAATTTGTCCTTGTCTTCAGGCCTTTGGGCATTAGACTGGTCACTAGGTCACAGGGACTCTGAGGACCAGTGAAGTTATGGAAACCCCTGTTTGGGCCAAGTCCCAAGCAGCCTTCCTCTTCTGAGTTATGATCAGATCAAGGTAAGGACTTCCCTACCTCAAGTGTGTTTGGATTCTTCCTGGGAAGTTCTTAGGGAATGCTCAAGAGCTTGAGATTTGGACTTGGTTTGGCTTGGTCCACTGCCAGCCTCCATACGTCTGGACCCTAGGCAACTGCCCTGTGTCTTGGCTTCCTTTGCAGGATGGTGTTGATACCCAACTCATGTGAGTGTTTTGAGGATTAAAGATGACAAGATATATAAACAACTTGGCACCAGATTTGGCACTTCCCAACAAATGATGTCTATTACAATCTACTTCTGATTATCTTCATTATTGGTGTCATTCTAATCTTTACTATCATTATAGTTTTTATTGGCCATTCTAGAAGACCCTGTAGGAAACACAAGAAAGTATCTGGCCTCTTGATGAAAGGAGGATGGAAGGCCCTGGCAGACAAGTGTCCACTCAGCTGGGCACAGCCATAGCCCCCCCTTGGGTTTTCCCCGTAACAGGACTGGTGCTCAGGCTGACCAGCTGAGATGACAGCTCTCAGGCAATATGCCTCAATAGAGGTCACAGAAAATGGCCCTAGAGTACTGGTCATCAGAGCACACGAGGCACAGCTCTGGTCTGCAGTCCCATAGAGACCCAGGGAGGCATGGACCTAGAGAACAGGCTGAAAGTTAGGCAAGGCTTCAGGGAGAACCCCTCACACCCTCAAGCATCAGCCCTTTCTGCTCATGCTCACCGGTGGGCCGGCTGGGGCCGAATGCACTCAATGTAGGCCTTCAGAGTGATGGCAAATCGCTCCTGCAACTGTTCCACCACACCACGCTGCACCACACCTGGGCGGTCTACAGGGAGGGAAGACAGAGTGGTCCCAGCCAGGGTGGGAAGGGGCAAAGACAGGCTCAGTCTGGCCCAGAGAGGGTAACTACTGGCCAGCCACTTCCTGAGCCAAAGTCACCCTGAAGGTAAAGGAGGACTAGGGTTCTACATCACCCCACTGACCCAAGGAGAAACCAGCTAGAGTCCCATCCTTAGCCTGCCTGTGCAGGGAGGAGGGAACAAGGCTGTAAGCTGGGACCTTCCCTAGGGAGGGCAGAAGAGGGGCTACTGCCTCCTGCAATCATGGTGAGGGGTGTTTACAGCCTGGGGAAGGCCATCACCTGGGGAGAAAAGGGAGATGGCCTGCATCAGCACATACTCCTCCTTATGCAGCTGCAGCTTCTTCAGCATGTAGTGGAATTTCATCATAGGATCCAGCAGAAGTTTCTGGAAGCCACCTGTGGGTGGGTATAGGATGGATGGGTGGCATCTTGAGAAGCTGACCCAAGAACAAATCTTCCCTCTCTAAGGTCTTTTGTTCCATCACCCAGTCTTCCTGCCTTACATTCCCAGGACCTGCATGTCCTGATGTGGTTCCCTTCCACCCAAAACTATCATGTGTCCCTCCCTCTGCCAGGGCAGGCAGGGGCTCTTGAGCACCTTCAACGTCTTCCAAGCAGTAAGCCAGCCGACCACACTCCCAGGTCCCAGTCTCTGCGTTGAACATCATGTTGAACCTCAGTATGCACAGCTCAATGGTGGCCCCCTTCAGCAGGGAGATCTGGTCCTCAATGGGCAAGTCCCTGGCAGCAAAGATGGTGAGATGACAGCTCCCAGGGTAGCTGCCCACAGGCTGGTACCCATTTCCATAACCCAGATGTTAAGGGAGGAGGTAGGACAGGCTCCTTCCTCTGAGGACCACAGCAGTTGCTTCCTGGTTTCCTCTAATCTCTCCCCATCACATCCAGCCAAGCAGGTTACTCTTCTTCTCTTATATCTCCTCCTACCTTTGTGGACTCTCCATACCCACTTAGCTTAGCATCCAGGTCCCTTACAGCCTAAATCACTTCCTCCAACTCCCTACATAGCCACTGACCTAGTTGATACCTTGGCTCCTGCTCCTTAGTTTTCATATCTTCTGCCTCAATTTCCCAACTTTGAGTGCTTGCTTAGCTTCATTTAAGTAAATCCTGAGTTCTTTAAGCCAAGATATGTGTTTGCCCCTCCCAGAAGTGTTTCCAGAGTGTGGAGTTCTTCAGCACATGCCATTCCTTTTGGTATGCGCTCCATGGTGAGGATATTTGCTACCTGTTGTCTATGTTGAATTTAATATTTACATATTTCTACTGTTTCTCTCCAGGCAACCTGGATGCCTTGAGCCCCAATCCTAGCACTGAACACAGGCCTAACCACAGTGGCTGCTTTATAAACCTCTGGTATTGGTGGGCTCATCCTGGAGGGACCTCTTCCTCCCAAACTGAGAGGAACCCCCAACTCCTCCCTGAAGAAGATGTTCCTGAAAAGGAAGAGGCTGGGAAACTGAGGCTGTTCATGAGAACTCCTAAAAAAAGCCCTGTCCCTGACTTTGGTCTCCTTGGGACATTAGGCTCTGCACTACTCGCACACATACCACTTCTTTTGATCCATAATAGTGCACTTCAAATGCCATGAAGTTGACATTATTCTTCTGTGTCTCCCCAGAGACCAGCTCAGTCCCTGGGAGGTAGCCGGCTCTGAAGTCTGTACTCTACAAGCCTGTACTTCCAAATATGCCCTCCACCACTGATCAGCTGATGAGTTCTACAAGTTTCTTACCAACAGTGAGTCTGTTTCTAAAAAGAAGGTAACAGTGATGCCTGGGGTCACTGTTCTCAAAACTGGTGGTCAGGAGAAGCAGGTAGTAACCTCCCTGCAGTTAAATTATGGCTCATTGGATGCCCAGCAAGAATCTGCCAAAGTTCACACTAGTAAGTAGACTTTTCTTCCTGCTCCCTCAAACTAATTTGCCACAGTCTGCCCCCTATTCCAGGTCATTGCTATCCTAATGTCATTGAGCCAATCTTGTGTGTCACATAGAGGCAAAGGGAACCTGTACTCCTGGAATATAACCTGCCCTCCGCCTGCTGATGGGATCTGGGTTCCTTGCCTGTGTATTTTGGCTCCACTGGACCAGGCTCAGAAAGGCAAGGTGGCCAGCCCAAGGGAAAACATACCTAGCACTATCTGTAGCCCTACAGATTATATATTATGGGCTGTGGCTCCCACCATATTAAGGGGTTCCAGGTCTCTTGCTGACCCCAGTTGTTCTAGTCGTTGCCTCTATGCCTAGCTGTGGGGAGTCCTGGCCCTTTGAATTTCATAACCATGGGTCCATGTTCTCCATGGCCTGCTCAGATATCTCTTGGGTAATATCTCCACTATAGGACCAGCATCTGTTCTGTTCCTCTCTCTCCTTTCTTCTCTCTCTGGACTTCTTTTTCCTTCCAACTCATCCTTTGAAGCGGTCATCTATGGTTCCTGCCATCATGGGAGAAATAGGGAAAGGAATTTCTATCTGAATTTCCATTATGTTCTGGGTGATCTTCATCTGGTTTTTTTTTTTTAATTTCATCTGGTAGTCCTATAAAGAAGGTATTATTAGCTCCTATCTCCAGATGAGAGGCTGAGACCCACTGGATCACAGTGCAGACCCACACCCACAAAGCCACTGAGACATACCGCTAGAAACCTATTCCCTGCAGCACCAGTGACCTGAGAGGCAGAGACAAAGGAGGGTCATTTGGCACCAACATCCCTCAAATTCAATGAGCTTTTGGTCATTTCCTTTTCCCTTCCACACCCATCCACACAGTCCCATGTCCTACCTGAAGTAGGAGATAACTTTAGCAAAGTTGATGATACCCTTGAACATGTAGGTCGACATGTCAGCCAGGTGGGGCAGCAGGGGAATGATCTCCTTCCCGTCACTGTTGGCTGGGGGTTTATAGTTCCACACGCTGCCATCTTCCCCTCGAAGCTGCAGAGAGATCTTCATGGTACACAGATCTTCCTTGAACTGGCTCCAATTGACAGGGTCTTCCCCCGGTGGAGTCTGCAGAAACTCTGGAATCTCATGGCCACTGCTAAACACCTCTGGCAGCTGGAACACAAGACAGGAAGGAGGTGGAGATTAGAAAGAATGCCTATGTTTTCATAAACAGGTCCCCACACATCCCAGACAGCCAGCTGCAGCCTGAGAAGATACACAGTCACAGGTGCTCAAGGCCCTGCACGCGTGTGCACGTACACACACACACACACACACAGCACTTGTGTCTTCTCTCTTGCTGTCTCCCATCAGGGGGTACTTTCTGGATCCATGAATTAATGGATGCACACATCCCTGGGCGAGGGGGACCTCCTACCCTGGTGTGTCACAAGCATTCTTGCTACTAGGCCCAGGAGACTCAGAAGGGTTAGGGAGCTGCAGATGGGAAGAGCAGACACTGTGCTCTCTGGGGATAATAAGTTCTCTAAGCTGGGCACCTCACCTGAGATACCTGTGAGCACACAGGAAGGGAGGGCACTGGGATTAGAGATGCAGCTAACACTGGATTGTTAAGGAACTGATTTACAAAGATCACACCCCCAAGAGATCCTGACTCTGTTCTCCTAAAACCCAGTTCTGCTTCCACTTATGACTCAGACCCAGTTCCTATCTGCTGCAGAAGAACAGAGATTCTCCAACATGAGCCTGGGAGGGCATCAGCTGGGGGTATGCCTTACTCCAGGAATTCGGAAGATGGGGGAGAACCTGAAAATTTGCATGTCTAGCAAATTCCCAGGGGAATCTGACTCCTGACCCCAGAACCACACTATGGGAAACCCTGGGAATGAGCCTCCAGGGGATGTTGAGCAGCTAGCTCAGGAGCCAAGACAGCTCTAAGCCTCCTACCCGGAAATCCTTGAAATGGGAGAAGGTGGAGTCAAAGGTTTTCTTCTGGGCATCCATCAGCTCCCTGATCAAGGACCGCTGTTCTTCCGTCAGCCCCTGCTCCCCCAGCGGTTGAGCCGCGATTCGTTCCCTTTTCTTCCTCTTGATCAACGCCCGCCTCTGCTCCACCGCGGTATCGGACATGATCACTGAAGGTTCAGTGGAGCAGGCTCAGCACACGTGTCCCCACAGGTTAACCCTCCCCAGTTTGATTACAAATCCAGGACAGAAAGAAGGGGACAAAAGGAAGCTTGCAGGAGCATCTGAGAGGAAAAGGGGGGACATACCCCTGATAGAGAGCAAAAAATAAAAATGCCCTGTAGCTCCCAAATCCCTCTTGCAAGCTCTCGGTTCAGATGGCTGCCTGTAGCACAGGGACACAGCTCACTCGTGCACACGAGCACACGCGCCCGCTCTGGGTGCACATCTACACGCGCTCACGCACTTGCCCAGAAGAGGGCAGAGGATCCCTGCACCCCAAGGCAATCTATGGATGCTGCTTGGACAGATGCTCCAGGCATCCTCTTCTTTTCTGTAAGGATCCTACAGGGCCCCTGGTCACACCCTCCCGGAGCGTGCAGGGCCTGGGTAGCCCGCCCCCAGCAGCCCGGCGCTCACTCTCCTTCTTCATTCCGCTCTCCAGGCACTTGCGCAAGCGACAAGCCTGGCACTGCCTCCGCGTCTTCCGGGTGATCTCGCAGGTGCCTTTGCGAAAGGGGCACCTCAGTCGGACATTGCGTTTCATGGCCCTCCTGTGAGAGAGAAAATGCAGGAGGCAGACTGCATGGGGCCCACTAGACCAGGGGTTCCAGGTCATATCACCCCTCTCCCACCCCTCCCAGCCGCGGATGGGACACACTAACCCAAATCTCTATGGGCCTCATCTTTGCCTTCCCAGTTGAATCAGGTACTATAGGGAAGACAGGTGGAGGGTCTTCTCTAGAGGAGCGGGGAAGATCTATTTTGCAGCATTCCCACAGGAAATAGGGCTTGTGCTTTTTAGGGGTTTCTGCAGCTGGAAGCCACTTTCTGGGACACTTCAACTCCAGTTCCAACCCCCCTCTACCTCCCAAAGTATGTGTTCCCTCCTCCTTTTCCCCCTTGTTACTAAGGCAGTGTTTCCATGGAGATGGGCCTCTTCCTGGATTCCTCCTTCTTCAAAGAGGGAAATAGAGGCAACTTGATCTCTGGGGGATAAGAAACATAAGAAATCCCCTTCTGTCCCCAGCTTTCATCCTAGAATGGGGGCTGAGAAGCAGTCTAGGGAATCAGTAAGCTGTTCTACCTCACTGGAAAGTTGCTTCCCCATTGCAAAATGGGTTCTTCTGATTGACATAGGGGGCAAAGAGGAGAGCCCTGTAAGAGCAGAGTGTGTGGGCATTGGTCCTCAGGCCCTTGTATAGGTTCAGCAGGTAGGCAGGCAGTGGGAAATGCCTGCACAGCCACTGTCTCCACAGCCCAGGCATCTGAACTTCCCACGACAGACCTTATCAGTACAGCTCCAAGTTTGCTTCTCCTCGTTTCCATAGCCGGATAGAATGAAAGAAGTTCTCCCTTGGTCTGGCTAAGGAAGACCCTTGAGGAGACCCTTGGAGCTACTCCAAAGTACATCCAGAATGGGTAAATGGGGATTGTGGGGAAGGACTCACATTTATTAGAACATGCCATCACATGCTGGGCTTGATATTTTGCAAAGCTCTGTAAATTTAGTATTCAAAATCCTATAAAATTCATCCTGTCATCTACCTGGCAGAGATGAGGGAAACTGAGGCTTTGAGAAGATAGATAGATCACCACCTGTCTTCCAGCTAATTCATGAAACTTGAGTCCAGGTCTGCCTAATACCACTACAAACTCCTAGCCACTATGATATGTCATGTCCCTTTGGGAGTCCCAGGAATAGCACCCAATTGGGGAGAAGAGGGCAGAGGATCCCTGCACCCCAAGGCAATCTATGGATGCTGCTTGGACAGATGCTCCAGGCATCCTCTTCTTTTCTGTAAGGATCCTGATCTGGTTCTGATGTTCTCCTGCCTTCATATATTCACCTGCCCAGCTCAGAGATCTCTCCAGGACTCTTTGCTAGTAAACAGTTCAGGAGTAGTTCAGGGCCATCTCTAGCCTGTGTGGCATTAGGGGGTCTTCTGGGAAAGGTTTTCTTGCTCTCACAAGGAGAAGAGATAGCCTTTTTGTTTCTCTGCTGGATGTCATGGCTACTGCCTGGGAACCCTGGAGTTTTGTACCTCCATACTGAAATCACAGCTTTTGGGTAGAACGGCAGAAGAGAAAAACACAGAGAATTTAGCTTCAGGACTCACTAAGATGAAAGCATTTGTCTAGACTTTTTTTAGGAGAGGAAACACGTTTTCCTAAAGTGTTCTGTGACTTGTAGCTGAACACAACCTAATACTGCTGCTGTGTCTCACTTGTGATTGTCCATACACAAATGTTCCTTTCTCCCTGGAACATGATGCCTTCAGACCTCCCCCAGCTGGAGTTAACCCCCATGCAACCTCAGAGCTGCTCAGGCCTGGCTGTGTCTGCCCTGAAGCAGGGATTTTTTCATTCCACTCTCATTGAACTGGTCTTAACAGAGGCTGCAGCAGTGCTTTCCTGGGATCATCCAGGCCTGGAAGTCCTCCCATGTGTTCTGGGGTCAAACAGCTGAGCCTGCATCCATGACTTGCTGACCAGCAGCCCATCTTTGGGATTGCAGAGTGAGCCCTTGGCTCTGGGGACATTCATTTCCGTTAGAATATCCAGCCACCAGGAAGAACTCTACAAAGGGCTAAGTCAGTCTCACCATCTGGAAAGTGTACAAGGATCCCAAGACACTGCATGCCCTCTCCCTTTCTGAGGGTAGACTGGGTGCTCTTCCTCACACATTCCTTCCTCCCTTCCCCTCCTATCTTAATCTGCTTCTCTCCCTCTTGGTCTGAGCCCTGTTGCTGAGAGTGCCCTCACTGAGCTGGCTTTGGTCTTTCTGTTTCATCAGCTAGACAAGGTGAGCCTTCTGTCCAGGCCTGCTTTGCTGTGAGCTGGGATGTTTTAGTCCTCCATTAAAAATTATATATATATATATATATATATATATATATATATATATATATATTAGATTTACACGGACACAATATCTTTATTTTGTTTATTTATTTTTATGTGGTGCTGAGGGTCAAACCCAGTGCCTCACATGTGTAAGGTTAGTGCTCTGTCACTGAGCCACAATCCCAGTACCATAGTCCTCTGTTTTTTAATTCTCCCTGTTTGTCTATTCTAGGTGAGCTTGTTTTCTTTTTTATTTATTTTATGCCACTCTTAATAACTGTCTTATAAAACTGATTTGAACACTTTGCGTTTTGGATTTTTAAATTCTTGACTCTTTCACTGTCTGATCTTTCATTGACGAATACATAAAATGGTATCTTAATAGAAGGGGATCTTTTCCAGGTAGAACATGGAAGAAAGAGATGAAGATTGCTCTGAGGTATAAATGGTTCATTCAAGACTAATTAGAAAGCCTTTGGGTGGGCTACCAGCCTACTCTTTGAACCCCCAAGACAGATCAAACTGAGTCCCTGAGACATTGCCCTGCAGGGTTACTGGCAGACTCCCGTTAGATGTGACCCAGTGTATCAGCGGTGGCAAATGAGTGAAGGTTGATGGGTGACTACCTGAAGAAGCCCTTGCATCCTTCACATGTCATGACATTGAAGTGATAGCCATTGGCCTTGTCCCCACAGACGCGGCAGATTTGGGGACCCCCATCTTCCTCATTTGCAAAATTGGTGGTGGGCTTTTCAGACATAGAAGTTGCTTCTTTGAAGTGTTCAAGGTCAGCATGGCTCCAACTTTCTTCAGGTCTCACCTCCAGGTTTGCTTCTGAACCTCTTGGACTATAAGTAAAAGAAAAAACAATAGTCAATGAAAGGGCTCAACAGTAGTGTCCCAAAGCTGCAGAAGTAACACTCTGTCCCTTCTGAGCTTTGCTTATATTTGGGTTCAATGCTGGACCTCAGAACTGACCTCTCATGAAAAGAATGTGGGCAGGGGGGTTTGAGTTATTATCCATGATATTTTGTATCCAGTTGTAGGGCCTTGGAGTAGAACACATGAACAAAAACATGGAAGAGATTGTGGCTCAGCGGTAGAGCGCTCGCCTAGCACGGGTGGGACCCGGGTTCGATCCTCAGCACCACATAAAAATAAAGGCATTGTGTTGTGTCCATCTATACCTAAAAAATAAATATTAAAAAAAACATGGAAGAGAGAAGTGGAAGGAAAAGATGAAAAGAAATAAGAAGAGACTGGACTGGGGATGTGGTTCAGTGGTAAAGCACCTGCCTAGCATGAATGAGACCCTGGGTTCAATTCCCACCACTGGAAGAAGCAGGGTGGGGGAGAAGAGGAAGAAAAAAAAGGAAACAAAAGAAAAAGAAACTGTCTGGGCTAGAGTGGATCATGGAAGCAGTACTTGAGTAAGCCGAGGTTAGGAGGCCATGAGTTGGTCAAGACCTGAGCAGGGAACAGCTGATGGGACAGACTACTAAATAATTCCCAGGATTGAGGAGCTCCAGAGGAGGGTGGTCCTTCAGATGTGGAGGGTGGTCCTCAGCCTCCCAGAGAGCCCTGGAAAGGCTAGCAGAAAGAGGGCTTTCACTTGGCAGATGGGGAGACAGTGAGAGTGGAGCCAAGATCATGATGCGGGAAGAAAATGGCCTACATCATGGCAGAGCTGGTGTGTGTGTAGATGGCGAAGAATCTGTGCCCCTCAATAGAGCTGAACTCAAGATGCCCTCCCCAGGCAGCTGACCTGAACTCTACTCAAAACAGCTGCAGAGGATGGTGAGTAGAAATCAGGGACTGACCCCGTTCACTGTGCTCTCCAAAAGTCTGTCTAGGCACTGATTGCCGGGAGCAACCACACCACAAGTGATGTTGCCTTTTCTAAAACAAAAATAAAATTCTGAGTAAAATTGAAACACACAAATTCAGTTTCTAGCATCCTGACAGATGACACTGAACTATTTCACATATAGGAATGAATGGACAATTAATCTCTTCCTGAATTTGGCTCTCCAGAAAACTGAACAAAACAGGCTGACTAGAAACTTGAACTGTGCACATGTGTGTGGTATGGGGGGTGGGATGAGAGTCTTCTCTAATTTTTCAGATCACAATTCTGACCTCATACAGACTTGCAGGAAAAAAAAAAAAGATATATTTTTGGTGTTCACAAAAACCTCAAGCCCAGGATTTGATTTCAAAAGCTCTTGGGTTAGTAGCTCTTCCAGATACCCAGAGAGGTATCTGGAAGATACCTTTCCACTTTCTACCTCAGTATAAATAATTACACACATAATTTCTAATAAATATGAGCAAAAATTCACAAATCATGTGTCAAAGACTAACAAAATATCATGAGCTAGAGTCAACAAAAACAGCTTAAAGCAGAATTAGACATGCACAGACTTCCTGAATCATCAAAACCAAAACATGTTTAAATAAACAGTAGAAGAGATTGAAGATGTAAGTTACAAGGCCACAAAACTGAGCTAGCAGATTTGAAAAATAAATGAACATTATCTATAAAATTGGAATAAACAGCAATTACACAAACTAATAACAATGTTTTACAAGTTAGAAAAAGCAAACCACAACTGAAATAGGCAACATTATGTAAGTCAGGAGATGGATAATCCTAAGGAAAGCTTTGTTAAGGTCCCATGTTGAGGAAATAAGACAGAACAGACCTTATATTTTTGATAGGAAAGTATGCTTGTTTAAATGTCTAGGGTAATCCTAAAAGTGTAGACATAGAATGTATAAACTGAAAGCCAAAAGGAAGGGGAAAGCGGAATTTTTAAAAAGCCAAAAAGGAGGCCACTAGAGACATAAAAAGAAACTGAAAGGGTGACAAATGGAAAAACAAGATAAGGTGGTAGAAATACAGGAGAAATGCTTCTACACAGTGGTATAGGTAAAGATTCTGTTTTGGACTAGACCCCCAAAATAACAGAAAGTAAAAATAGCTAATGCAATTACATCAAGCTACTGCACAGCAAAGGAAATAATAGTGTGAAGAGACACCCTTCACACTGAGAGAAAATACTTGCAAACTATTCATCTGACAAAAGATTCATGTCCAGACTAGACAAGAAATTCAAAACAATAGCAAAAAAAAAAGGCAGGGGACACGATTAAAAAATAAGCCAATGATCTGAGTAGATCTTTCTCAATGAAGACATACAAGTGCCCAAAAGGTATATTTTAAAATGATTGATATTACTAAGCATCTCACTCCAGTTAGAATGGCTATTACAAAAAGATACACAGACTGTTGAGGATCTGGACATAAGAGAACTCTCATACACTGTTAGTGGGGATAAAATTAGTACAGTCCCTATGGAAACCAATATAGAATTTCCTTGAAAAAGTAAAAATCAATCTACTAAATGACCCAGCTATCCTACAGTTGGATGTACATCCAAAGAAAATGAAATCAACTTATTAACTCATGTTTATTGCAGTGCTATTCACAATAGCTAGTATATGGAATCAACCAAAGTATTCATCAATGGATAAAGAAAATGTGTCATATATGCACAATGTTGTATTTTCAGCCATAAAAAAATGAAGTGATACAATTTTCAGCATCATCAATAGAACTGGAGGACACTATGCTATGTAAAGTGAGTCAGGTACAGAGAGACAAATGTGGCATGTTGTTTGGAAGCTAAGCAAATTGGTTTCACAGGGGAAAAAAGAAGGATAACAATGGTCATAAGAGATTAGGAAGGGATGTGGAAAGGAGGGATAGAGAAAGGTTAAATAAGGTACCAAAGTACTGTTAAATAGGAAGGATTAGTTCTAGTGTTCTATTGCACAATAGGGCAATTACATTCTGCAATAACTTATGATATATTTCAAAGTAACTAGAAGAGTCCAAAGGTTTTCAATGATAAATGTTTGAGGAGATGCAAATGCTAATTACCCTGATTTGATCATTGCACAGTTGATTGAATTATTTTACTGTACTCCATAAATATGTACAACAGTGTTTCAATTAATATATTAAAAGTTTTTTAAAGATAGTAGAAATATCCAATAAGTTGATAGTTAAATGTAAATATATTTAATTTTCTCATTCAAAAACACCAAGAAAAATGGTTTTAGCAGATGACTGGGGCAATCTAAAATTACAGGATTAGTATTTTGGGGCCAACTTTGTATTGGTGAACAACGGCTAGAGCAGATACCAAAATGGTAACTAATGATTATTGAAACTCACAGTGTTCCAGGTCCTTTGAAAAAGGTAACTCATTGTCTTAGTCCATTCAGGCTTCTGTAACAAAATACCATAAACCAAGCAGCTTATAAACAACAGAAATATATTTCTCACAGTTCTGGAGTCTGCAAAGTCCAAGATCTAGGCATCAGCAGATTCAGTGTCTGATGAAGGCCTAGTTCATAGATGGTATCATCTCCCTGTGGCTTCACATAGTAGAAGGACCTAGTTAGCTCTCCAGGATTTTATTAATCTCAATCATGAGAAATCACCTCTCAAAGACTCCACTTCCTAGTGCCATTACCTTGGGGGATGAAGATTTCAGCATATGAGGCACTCAGAGCACAGCACTAACTTACTCCTCTGGATGACTATCAGAACATCTATCTATTTCAAACATGCTGCACATCTACTACACACTGCATACTCTGTTATATGTTTTCCAGGTTCTTCAGAACTTGGAAGTCATTCTTGGGCAAAAATATAAGACCTTTATTCTGAAGCATTCTGGAGTCAAAGAGCCGCATAGCTACAGAAAGTTTTATTAGCAGGGTAGAGTTTCAGAGTGCACGTTGGAGAATACCCTTCCTTAAGTCTTCAGCATTATTCAGGAGCCCCTGGAAAGAGCAGCCTCTGTGGCTACAGGGACAGTCGGCAGAGATTCTGCACGTAAACTGTGAACTTTATACAACTGAAGATAGTGAAATGGAGCTTTCTCAGCAATAAATTCAAAGGCCATTCCCCACAAGGGAAGTGACCATTACAACATGATGATATGAATCACAAGAGAAACTCAGCAAAGGATGTAGATCAAGAAAATAAATGTCACCAAAGGACTGAAGGAAACATATTCACTTAAACTGTGCCTAATTAACACTTTCACCAGTTCCTTAATGAGGAGGTATTAGAATTAGTGCCAGAGCCCCACTCCCTAGGATTCGTAGAACTCGTTTTGTTCATGTTGACTATTAAACAGGCAGACTCCGGGACATTCCATAGTTCGTTAGCTCATATCCTCATGAAGCTGGTTATCGAACCCATGGCAGCTGTTCTCCAAATATGGCTGCTGAGGAGCCACACTTCCCCATAGCCACATCCTTTTGTAGTCCCCTTCCAGAGGAATCTAGGACATTCTGTAACTTGCTTTGACCAGTAGAATGTGGAGAAATGACACTGTGCTAGTCTGGGCCTATCCCATGAGAAACCCAGTAACTTCTGCCTTTGCCTTTTGCAGAGCCCTAAGCCACTGTGTGAGAAAAATGTGATTACCCTGCTGAGTGACCAGCTGAAGAGACTGGTGCAGAAGGGCTGTGTGAGGAGGGAGTGCCTTGAGATCCCTCAGCTGGGTGAGGCCTAGCAGCCCCGCCTCCCAGCCACCTCATCTAACTCTAGGCACAGGAGTGAAACCCACAGGCTTCCTGGTCCAGCCCGGCCTTCATATGACAGTCTCAGCCAAGGTCATGTGAAGCTGTACTCCCCAATTTTCCCCATCAACAGAAAATAAATGGTGGTTGGTTTAATCCAGTAAGCTTACGGGAGATTTGTTACATGGCAAGAGATAATGGGAACAGAACCCCTGGAGTTTTGTTAGAAATAGATCTGATCTGG